TGATGCAATGTTACTACCTGTAGTGAAAATGACCTAAGAGTACTAATATAATAATCGTATTTAGCAGAAGCTTTAAAATAATGTACTGTAGGACTATAAAATCATTTAAATTTAAGTCAATATTTCATGTCCACACATTTATTTGGTGATTAGCCGTATAACCAAACTTTGACAATAATTAAGCATGGCTTAAGTGTCCAAATACATTTTGGAGTTTGATTTGTGTTTAATGTGCTGTTATGAATTGTTTTTGCTTTATCTGTCTATAAAGTGCTCTAGCAGACATGGCTCTTGGGAAGAAAGTAGTTCACATCCCTTATAGAGACTCTGTCCTCACCAAATTACTGCAGTCTGCTCTTGGTGGTAACAGTCGAACCGTCATGGTAAGATTCTTTAACTTTACCCAGAGTTTCTCAATTTAAACTAAACCAGAACAAGGTAGTTGTGATGTTTTAGAATGAAATAATTTGCATTAAAGTGTTTCTTGTCTTCATGCACAGATTGCAACCTTGAGCGCTGCAGATATTTGCTATGAAGAGTCTCTTTCTACTCTTCGATATGCAGAGAGGTGGGTTGAGTTCTTACCTAAAAAGTCACGTTTAGTCACTGTATATACAAATGCCCTGCTGAATATAGACCATGTTAGTTTTCCATCAGGATAATATATTCCACAGGACACTTTGTCCCTCTTTTCAGGGCCAAGCGGATCCAGAATAAAGCTGTGGTGAATGAAAGTCCCACAGAACGACTAGTGAAGGAACTCAAGGCAGAAAATGCAAAACTACTTTTGAGACTAAGCCGACTGGGCCAAGAAGGCCGTAAAGCTGATGATGAGACAAGTATGTAAAATGATAGAAATACAAAGAAACTTTAAATGCCAAGTGCATTTCGTCTAATTCAACATGTTGTCTGTTGTAGAGGAGCTGCGGCGATTGTTGACTCATAATGAGCTGCAGATTCGAGCCATTCAGACGTTGTGGGAACAACATCTCCAAGAGGCCCTAAAAGACTGGGAGACTCAGTATGCAACTATAACACAGGTACACAAAGATGCTCTTTTACATGGTGTGACTGTAAGATTTAAAACACTTAACTGGTTTCTAATAGCAATGCCTGGGAACATATATATTGACCAAATGTGTACATTGAATTCACTATCACTTAGAATGCAAATGCTAAATTCATAAATGTAAATGTTTTCATAAATGTAAATGGTCTCAGAGAATTCACAGTTTAAACAATTAAAGATTTGACACAAATTTAATTTCCTTTTCACGAGGCTCCAAAAGCTGAGCATTTTACATTCATTCAGTGTTTTGAATTTGCTTTTATTTGTGTATTTTTAGTTTTAATTTCAGCTTTAAGTTTTGTTAATTTGTTGTGCTTAGTTTTTTAATATTTAGCTTTAATTTATAGTTATTTTAGTTTGACTAATTTTAGTGCTTCAAATTATTTTAATGTATAAAACATCCAGTAATTTCTAGGTTTTATATACAATTTATATATACTGTATGTGTGTGTGTGTGTGTGTGTGTGTAAAGAGAGAGGGAATAGCCTAAGTTAAAATAAAAGTAACTGTAAAACTATTATTATTTATTTAGTTTAACCAAAAATTCAGATATAATTAGATGTTTTTGAAAACATGGACCAGTGTAATTGAATAAGAGACTAATACAATTACAGCATCTGATGTAGAGGCGAAGCACGAGGGCGTTGATGTTATATCCTTCAGCATGCACAAAAACATTCCAGCTCTCACCTGATATTAAAGGCATAGTTTACCCCAAAATGAAAATGTTGTCATCATTTACTCAACCCCATGTTGTTCCAAGTCTGTAAGAGTTTCTTTCTTCTGTTGAACTCAAAAGAAGATATTTTGAAGAATATTGGTAACCAAAAAGTTGCTGGTAGCCATTGACTTCCATAGCATTTTTTTCCTTATTATGGAAGTCGATGGCTACCAGCAACGTTTGGTTACCAACATTCTTCAAAATGTCATCTTTTGTGTTCAACAGAAGAAAGAAACTCATACAGGTTTGAAAGGAAGCATTTTGTAGCATTTCATTTTATTTTTCCTAAAGTTCACTTTTATAGCAAGTTTTTTTTGCACTAAAAGCAGTCCTAATTTAATTTTACCTGCATATTTTCCACCCTCTCTTTGACCCTTATATTTAAACAGGCAATTTTTGCTCCTATGTCTTTCAGACTTTAATAAAAACATGAGCTCTGTTATGATCTAAATGTCCATGTTTTTTGTCTTGTTAGGTATGGATGTGGTCCAAAGCCAAATTCGTCAACCGTAAGTTTCTGATGGAGGAGGTGTACCAGCAGCAGGTGGTAGGAGGAGAGGGGGCAGACCGAGCTCCTCTTCCCAGGGACAGAGATCCGTTCTGGGATCCTCTGGAGCCCCTGCACCTGGGCAGCGCTCACTTGTGGCTGCAGTCCCTGGCGTTCCGCATCCCTCTGGAGGAGCAGGTGGAAGTGGTGGGTCCGGAAGGAACAGAGGAGGCCATACTGCAGGCACAGCTAATGCCCTGCAGCCCAACAGGATTGTGGGTTACATTTCTGCATTTATATGTTTAAATGTGCAATTTAAATATTAGTAGTGTTATGATATTTATACACTGCAGGCCCCTGGGAGAAGACGACATCCTTATTGACCCGTCAGAGCTGCTTGGGAAACGACTGGACTTTCAGCTGGTTGTGGATCAGTGCTGTGGCCTACGCTGGGTTAAAGAGGCCCGGAACCGAGGCGTGCAGATCGGGTTAGTTTGAATCAGTGATGGCAGTGTGTAATGGAGAGTTTGTTGAACTCTGCATGAAGTATTTGTATGGATCTTATGAAATCTTAGTTCCGTTTCAGATTAGAAAAGATACTTATGCATGTCCTTATGCATGTCCTAATGTCCTAAAGTGAAAGATCAATTTATTTATAAAAGATTACTTAATTCATGAAGGATTAATTTATGAAAGTTTAGTTCTGTTTTATGTTTAAAATAATACTATTGTATAATTATCATAAGATTGATCATCAACCAAAATAGTTATTCAGATTCAGACTAACTGCAGTGCATAAATTGTCTGATTTCATTGTTATTTTAATATTATTTATGTAGTGTTAAACTTTTATTTTTATATGTTCGGTTTTCATTTTAATTTTAGTTACTTTTTTTAAATTTTTGTTGTGATTTTGTTATTTTTTTTAGTTTGTTGTAATTTATTTTTAAGTCCATTTTAGTATTATTTCTTAGTAATTTTAGTACTTGAGCTTATTTCAAAATTTTCTTTTAGTTTACGTTTTTCATCTAATATTTATATTTGATTTTATTTCAGCTTTATTTCAATTGACAAAAATCTTTTTTTTTCTTTTTTTTTTAAGTTTTAGTTTACAATAACAACACTGTGTCTGATGATTTGCATCCCTATTGAGATTAGAAATTAAATCTTATTTGAGCTCAAGTAAGAGCTCTGTGTTCTGCAAGCATCATCATCATCATCATCTAATAATGTGTCCGAAATCCAGATCCTTCTGAAGTTGGCTTGTATATGCTACTACATGTTTTACGTTCAATTTTTTGGGTTTTGTCACTAACTGTTATAGTCCATGCCATTCTAAAATATATAAGCATTGATTTTCTTGTAATGTTACAAGAATAAATAATCAACTAAAATAAAATAAATGATTAAATAACAGGCTAAATGAATAGCCTAGAGACTGAAGTTCAACTCAAGATCTGAACTCTGATTGGCAGGTTTCAGGTGTTTGACTGCCCGCAGCCTCTCTACACTCCAGCGGTGTGGCACAACGTGAACCCGCTCTTGGATCACAGAGTCCAGTTCACTGCTCTAAGAACCTCTCAGGAACTGCTCAACTTCCTGCAGAGCAATGCCCTGGTGCTGGAGCTGTGGGGCCTGCAGGGTAAATATCTCTGATGCAAGAAATATTACACTACTGTTCAAAAGTTTGGGGTTGGAAAGATTTTTTATGTTATTGAGTGAAGTCTCACCAAGGCAGTAATATTGCAAAATATTATTAGAATTTAAATTAACTGTTTTCTGTTTCACTATATTATAAACAGTAATTTATTTCTGCAATAGCAAAGTTGAATTTTCAGCAGACTTTACTCCAGTCTGACAATATGCTGATTGTGAAAACACTTGTGCAGCTTAGCATTTGTGTGGTGCATTTCTTTCAGGATTCTTTGATGAATAGAAAGTTTAAAAGAACAGCATTTATTTGAAATATAAATCTTAGCTTGTAGCATTATAAATATATTTGCTGACAATTTAATTTAATGGGTAATTTATAAGTAATATCTAATAATTTAATGGGTAATTTAAAAGTAAAATCTTACCCCAAACCTTTGAACAGTAGTGTATGTTGAGATTGAAATAATAAAGTAATTTGATGACAGAAAATAGAAAGAAGCTGTGGAAACTGCAACAAGAATAAAACCAAGCCATTTGCCTTCAAGGCATTCTTGAACTTCTCCAATAAACATGTTTGTGTTTGTAGAAGGATGTTCTGAATTAGTCTCTTGTATGGATGGAGTGAAGATGACTCAAGAGGACAGCATTATTATTGACAAGATTAGTGCATCAGAACACTTGGTATATATATATATCATAAATAAACAGACCATGTATATGATGTTTCCAATAAATGTTCATTATGTTTGTTAACACACAAAATGCTTTGCATGAGCCAGTCTACAAAACCTATTCAAGTTGCATGTGTATTTATGTTTGTTTAGACTGCAGAAACTGGTGGCTCTGACCTCGGCTCATCTCTCCGAGCCCTTCATCAGGACTTGGAACAGCTGAGAAATTCTAACGCAGCACTAAAGAAAGAAAACAGTGCTCTGAGAGAGCAACTTAACTCAGCCAGAAATGGTGACTACTTTCGGTTAAGTCATGCGGGACATTATTGCTCGGTCAAGATATTGGGGGCTCATCCGGGATCAGAACCCTAGTTATTGTTTCAATTTTTTTTTCTTCTATGGCTTCTGGTTTAATGATTAAATTAAATTTTAGTAATCAAAAAGCATGTCTGATTAATTGAAATGATCAAACTTAATTTCACAACAATTTATTAAAAGTTAGGGCTCTATGAATTGTTAAATTTTTTCCCAATTTCCATTTTCTTTCTCCAAATTCTGTGTTGTGTGTCTTAATTTTTCTGGTTTCTGTTTTAATTAAATTTTAATAATCAAAAAGCACGTCTAATCAATTGAATTTATAAAATCATCTTTATTTAATAATTTAATTAAATGTATACAATTATAGGGCCCTATAACATTTATTTATTTATTTTTTCAGAAATTCAGTGTTGTATGCTTTGATTTTTCTGGATTTATGATTTAATACAATTAATTAGCAAAAACACTGGTAATCAAATGAATGCATAAAACATTCACAATTTAAATAATCTTTTAAAATACGATCAAATGAACATTTAACAATTTTATTGCTTGGCAAAAAGAAGTGCTCAACAGAAGATGACTGATTATATTAAAACAGGAAAGAAAAAATGTGTGATATTCCTTAAGTTTTATTACTACTACCACTACTTTAGAAGAATATTTACTGTTAAGTACATACATTTCTGTCATAGTTTCCGGTTAAACCAAAGTTAAACCAACATTTTATTTTGACGGGTTGTCATGAAGACTGAAATGTGTATGCTATGTATGAAATTTGCCAAATTCCATGACATTCTGGACCATACTGTACTTTTTTTTTTTTATGACTGGATTCCTCAATTCTGTTTTGCATCACAGAAATTATAGGGACCTACCAATACCTTTTGCAGTTAATGTTAAAATAACAAGCAACATGCAAAAACAAATGTATTCTCACAACAGCTCAGCATTTCTTCTACAAGTGGGCCACTATATTACCTAACATGCTCAGTTTATAACACACATTGTGTTATTCTTCCTCATTTCTGCCGCAGGTGTGGAGAATAACCGCGGTCGGCAGGAACGCAGAGGCAGTCTGAGGCCCAGCTGTGATGCTGAGTTTGCCAAAGCCTTAAAAGTGTTCTACCACAGCATGACCTCTGTTAGGGGGCAACTTCAGCGGCTGCGCAGACACAAACCCAGTGTAAGTAGGCAAGTCCCAATCTATGAGTCATGCCAATCAGCCTCTGTGTTCAGGGGTCTCCGTGATTTTGCCAAGTAAGACATGTTCCTGGATAAACATCTTTTGTTGATCCTGGATCAACATTACTGTCCAAAAATATAGACTAAACCCAATCCCTACCCCTAAACCTAACCCTACCCATAATTTATTCCTAAAATCAGTGTGAAATGATAGCTGATTAACAAGGGTGTAGAAGCACCTAACCCTGATCGTAAGCCTAAAACAGATATTTCCTGAAAAGTTATCCCTCAATTCTGATTGGTTAATTGGAATGTTGTTCCAGGATCAACAAGGATTTTGATCCAGGAACATGTTGTACTTGGTGAAATCACGGTCACTGTGTTCAGACGTGAAAGTCTTTTGGTTGTACATGCTTTGACTGTAATGTGTCTATACATGTGTTTGTCTCCATAGGAGGAAGCAGACCTGCTGGGTCTCAGACTGTTTGTGGATGAACATACGTATCTCCTGAAAGACTTTTCTGAACAGTTGGAACAGTGCGTCACCACTCTCAAACAAGATGTGGCTGCCATTGTACGTCGAAAGCGAGAAAAGTCTGGGATTTGGTCCTGATACGCCTATTAAATCAAACATCCTGCTGCATGAACTTGTACAATTATAAGACTGAATCTTGATTGAAGCTTGATAAAGTACTAGATTCACGAAAAATACTTAATGTTTGCATTTTTTTGCATTTGGTCTTCAGAGTACATTTAGAATAGGACACTACCTATTATTTTGAAATGGTTAAATGCAGTATGTACCATATATTAAAGGGGCCATATGATGCGATTTCAATTTTTCCTTTCTCTTTGGAGTGTTACAAGCTCTTGGTGCATAAAGAAGATCTGTAAAGTTGCAAAGACTGAGTCTCAAATCCAAAGAAATATTCTTTATAAAATTAAGAGTCAACCACGCCTACCTAAAACGGCTCGTTCTAACACGCCCCCACATGTCTACGTCACGATGTGGGAAGATTTGCATAACGCCACCCAAATGTTCACGCAAAGAAAGAAGGTATAACTTTTATTCTCTCTGTAGTATTGTTGTTGTCGCCGCCATGTTGTGGAGACGCTGTGTGTTTCGTTGTGAAAGCGAAACTACTTTGTTTGGTCTTCCAAAAGAGGACACGACTAGAAATCAGTGGTTAAGTTGTATTTACAACACTGTTCCAGAACACTTCAACCCAAATATTCAGATGTGTGCAGCGCATTTTATGGAGGACTGTTTCCTGATCCTGGTAGAGTAGCCTACAATGCCGGTGTCTGTTTCTATAAAGTTGGGCAGTTCCAACTTTGCAAGGACAGTCTGGTGCTTCTGACTCACAGCCTGTAAATACGTTTTTTTATATTTAAAGAATTTGCCACTGACGATTCAAACGTGAGTTTTGAGCAGTGTAGAGTAGTGCTTGTTGTTTGTCGTTTCTCCAGACATTATTATATTATATTATTGGGGTCATATGTTGCAAAAAAAAGAACATTATTTGGTGTATTTGGTCTAATGAAAGGTGTTTATGCGGTTTAAGGTTAAAAAAACACTAGGACTGGGTTTTGACACAATTTCACGATTTGATTATCATTCACAAGCTTGCGATTCGATTCGATTACCGATTCGATTCAATATCGATTATTTTGGATATAGGCCTATATCAGGTACGGTACATGCCAAATTTTCTCAAGGAAAAAAAATCTCTCAACTAATGCTGTAAAATATAGTTATATATATATATACACACACATACAAGTACATCTAAAAAAAAAATTAGAATATGAAAAAGGTCAACTTTTGTCACTCATTTCAGAAAGTGAAACCCATATATTATATAGATTCATTACACATAGAGTGAAATATTTCAAGCCTTTATTTCTTGAAATTTTGATGATTATGGCTTACAGATAATGAAAATACAAAATTCAGTTTCTCAGAAAATTTTAATATTACATAAGATCAATAAAAAAAAGGATATTTTAAACAAATGTCAGGCTTCTGAAAAGTATGTTCATTTCTATGAACTCGAATACTTGGTTGGGCCTCCTTTTGCATGAATTATTGCATCAGTGCGGCGTGGCATGGAGACAATCAGATGGTGGCACTGCTCAGGTGTAATGGAAGCCCAGGTTGCTTTGATAGCGGCCTTCAGGTGCCTCTTTCCCAAAAAGACTCATGGCTGTATTAGATCAAAAGGGAGCTTCTACTATATACTGAGCAAAGGGTCTGAATACTTAGGACCATGTGATATTTCAGTTTTTCTTTTTTAATAAATCTGCAAAAATGTCAACAATTCTGTGTTTTTCTGTCAATATGGGGTGCTGTGTGTACATTAATGAGGAAAAAAATTAACTTAAATGATTTTAGCAAATGGCTGCAATATAACAAAGAGTGAAAAATTTAAGGGGGTCTGAATACTTTCCGTATCCACTGTATGTATGTATGTATATATATATATATATATATATATATATATATATATATTCAGTTGGTACTACATTACTATAATATTGAATTTTATAATATATGTTTTTTAAATAATAAAGTTACAATTACATAATATTTCTACTTCAATTAGTTTTTTTTTTTTTAAATATAAACATAATGGTGGCTGTCATAAAAACTTGATGGATTTATTCAAACATAAATTAAACACTAAAGAACAGTAATATATGAATATATAATGAATATGTTATATGGTGCATATATTTAGCAAAATGCCCCTCTCTACAGTTTATTTATGGTTTAGTTTACGGTCCCCAAATATGCTTTTGTGAGGTAAATGTGACATTACGTGACATTGTTTAGAAGACGTTATGACGTCTGCGTGGCTGAAACACTGATTGAGCGATTACATGAGACAGGATACGGCTTGTAACGTTATACTTTTTCTTTTAACTTACCTTCGGATGTTTAGTCATGTTTATTTTGTGCTGAAACTGGTATTAATGGGGAGGAGATGATCAATTCACGCACGTCTGTTGATCGAGGCGCTACAGCGATCTGTCACTCCACATTAAACAGCGCCAAAACGGCATTTATTGTTTGAATACCGCAATACAATGGACAGAATTTGAAATCTGAGACTTTGTTTCATATTAAAAGTACCAAAGCACAATGCTTATTGCGATATATTGGATGGGAAGTGCCCTTCAACCTTCCGTCCATTAACTGAAAACAGGCTAGACTAATTGATTGATTCGATTCTTGGGAATTAAGAATCGATATCGTTCCGTAAATATGATAATCGATTAATATCGAGATATTGATATTTTTACCCAACCCTAAAACACACACTATTTTCCACATACTGTACATTATTGTTTCTCCTCTAGGCCATGCCTTTCTGAAATGCGTCGATTTTTACAAAGCTCATCGTTCTGAAAAGCAAGGTGTGCTCTGATTGGCCAGCTATCTAATGCGTTGTGATTGGCTGAATTCCTCAAGCGTGTGACTGAAATGTTACACCCCTTACCATACTGTGTGATGCCGTGTCCCGGCGCGATGAGACAAAACCAATAAAACCCATTATAAACGAGGCATTTGTTGCATCAAGTGGGGACATAATTACTGATTATAATGACTTATACTGTCTTTTTACGCGTTGCATTGCATCGCGCCGCATAAACATAAAACCATGTCTGCATTTGTGATCGGAGAAATGACAAACAACAAGCCCTACACTACACTGCTCAAAACTCGCATTTGAATCATCAGTGGCAAATCCTTTAAATATGAAAACGTACTTACAGGCTGCGAGTTAGCATTATTTGTCAGCATCATGGACTGTGGTCAGCATGCGCGCCGAAGGGGAAACAGGAACTGAATTCTCCGGAACACTGGCATTGTAAGCTACTCTCCCAGGAAACAGTCCTCGTCCTCCGTAAAATGCGCTGCACACATCTGAATATTTGGGTTGAAGTCTTCTGGAACAGTGTTGTAAATACAATTTAACCACTGACGTCTAGTCGTGTCCTCTTTTGGAAGGCCAAACAAAGTAGTTTCGCTTTCACAACGAAACACACAGCGTCTCCATGATATGGCAGCAGCAACAATTCTACAGCGAGAATCAAAGTTACGTCTTCTTTCTTTGCGTGAACATTTGGGCGGCGTTATGCAAATCTTCCCACACAGTGACGTAGACATGTGGGGGCATGTTTGAATGAGGCGTTTTAGGAGGGCGTGGACGAGTCTTAACTTTTATAAAGAATATCTCTTTGGGTTTGAGACTTTAGTCTTTGCAACTTTACAGATCTTATCTATTCACAAACAGCTTGTAACACTCCAAAGAGAAAGGAAAACTTAAGATTGCATCATATGACCCCTTTAAATTGCACATTAGGCGGTTTGTATAATCATGTTTCTATGTTTCTACTCCAATCAGTTTTTTGAAATATAAATATTTAAACTGGCTGTCATAACTTGTTTTCATGACGTATTTATTTAAATATACATTAAATATTGAAGAACAGGTTATGTAAAAATGTTAGTATGTAATATAGCGCATATATTTAGTAAAATGTTCCTCTCTAGAGTTCATTTTTCTAGCCAACTGTCAAGTTTATGGATATTGAATGGCTTTCCTGAGGTACTTTCCAAGGATGAAACACTGATTGAGCGTTTACATAAACTGTCAGGGCCTCGGGGTGGGCTAGGCCCTAAGAAAGGGCCTAACTATTGTAAAAATGTCAATTTTTAAATTGTGTTTTTAAATGACAAACAATAATATTTTAATTACAAGTCAGCAGTTCTAATTTTATTGTAGCAATTCATTATTTGACAATATCTAAATAATTTATGAGATTGTGTTGGAATGTGAATGGTTAAATGAAGAACGCTAATTTACTCCTCATTAAAATTCTTACGCCTAAATTACAGGGGGCCAAGAGACACTAATTTTCAAATCACAGCTAAATTGACCAATCAAATGGGTGGGGTTTAAAATTACTAACTACATTGTGACAAGTTCAGCCAGCTGTGGAGAACACAATCTAAAAAAAAAAGATAAACGAGTAGCTCGTTGTTCAATGTGGGAGCGCAAGTAACATTATTGAGGAGACATCGTTGCTAATTTATTATCTACACCGCTTTCAAGATGAAGTCTTGGAGGTAAAGGCCGGTCAAATTATGAATTGCTAAAATAAAATTAGAACTGCTGACTTTTTTTTACCGTTTTTTTACACTACCATTGAGAAATTTTAGCCAAAGTATGTTATAGACTTTTCATTAAGAATACTTTTTTCATTAAGAATACTAAAGAATCATATCAACTTATGGAAAATGGGCATCCGATGACCCCTTTAAAAGAACAAATTGAAAACTGCAGTGCTGCAGGAAAGTGGAGTAGATTATATGGTTTTTACATTTTAGATGTATTATTATTTGTTATGTGCTGAATGTTTTTAAGGGGAGACACTGCAGGCAAAAACACTTATTTTTTCATGCACCTGTCAATTTTGAGATTTTGGCCTTTTTGGCTTTTCATAAAGTGTTGATAAAGACTAGTGGAAAGAAAACATCCAAAAGACACTGTTAAGTGCTTATTTTATAACACTTTATCTATTTGTGTCAATAGATTTAAATTACAATACATATTTTTAAAGGCCGTTTTCTCAAAATGAGTTGTTCCTCCTACACTGAGCCATAACCTCCACTTCAGTAGCACTTACACACACCAAACTTTACATTTTTATTCCTGTCTATATTCTGAAGGTTTTTACAGAGGGATTTGTTCATATATAATTTGCTTGATTGTATAGGCCTACAACATTTTATTCCCCCCAACATTGTGAAAATATATTGTTTTCTGGCTGTTCAAAGATTTTTCTGAATTATGGAGTGACAAAGAGATACCCAAAATTCCCTCTGTAAAATCATTTGCCTCTAATATGTAAAAAAAATGTAACTGACTTCATCCAGTGTTCAGATTTTTGCACTAGAAATTTATGCAAACTAGCACATTTCATTAAATAATGCCTCATCTGCATATTTAAGGGGAGACACTGCAGTGCAGGCAAAAGCACTTTTTTCATTCACCTGTCAATTTTGACATTTTGGGCTTTTTGGTTTTTCATAAAGTGTTGTTTGAGACTAGTGATAATTTGCTTGATTATATACAACATTTTATTTCCCCAAAAATTGTGAAAATATATTGTTTTCTGGCTGTTCAAAGTATTTTCTGAATTAGAGAGTGACAAAAAGAGATACCCAAAATTCCCTCTGTAAAAACATTTGCCTTTAATATGTCCAAAAAAAAAAAATAATTTGGAAACTGACTACTGAACTATCCAGTGTTCAGATTTTTGTACTAGAAATGTATGCAAATTAGCGCATATTTCATAAAATAATGCCTCATTTGCATATTTAAACAGCATTTTACAAAACTTGTAATACAATTTTTTTTTTTGCAATTATCAATGTAATCAATCAACTGGGTAAGGTGATAACTATTAGTTAGTTATCATTCAGGGCCTGAATTTTATTTTTTTAAATATGGGAAATTCCCCTTTTAGGTGACTCTTTAGACATTTTTCAAAAATATAATTATTGCACCTAAATGTTTGATCATGCAGTGCATTTTTGTTTTTACAATGTCGCAATTGCTGCACAATAGCTTACACACAGCACAAGCCTGATTTCATGAGCTGTACTGTACACTCTAAAAAATGTGCTAGCTCAACAAAAAAAATTTACGCAACAGTTTGCATAATTTTATGAGTTATGACAACTTCTAATGAAATTATGTTCAACCAACAAACTACATTGAGTTAGAAGAACTTAGCAATTTGTAACATATTTTTAAGTTAATTACTAAAAACAATTAAGTTGCTCCAAATGAATTTGTTGGCCTGGAACCAATTTATGTGATCTTTTTTTTCAGTTCAAATCCACAGCTATCATGACACACGCTAATTGTAACTTACTTGGCATGTATAATGAACAGGTAATATGTTACTTTTCACTGGCATTGGTGCAGTCATTGCTAATAGAGTCAATGTGTGTACCTTCATGTGCTCTACTCTTCAGCACAATCGTAACCATAAAAACTTCCAACATAACAGAAACTCTTAAATGTCAAACATAACAGCATTAAACACTAATGGGTCTTTCCCTTCACTAAAAAAGAAAACACATAAAAAAAACACTTAATTTCAACATTTACTCTCCTTATCCAGTCCTATGCAAAGTATGCTGGGAACTAGAAATCCACGTCTCATAGATATGTATACGTAGATGCCTCATTAGCGACTGTTATGGGCCGCTATACGTAAGCCGTCCGCCGTATTCGAAGGGTCAACTTGACGTCATTCACCATAACAGTAACATAAGTTACCAATGTTTCAAAACTTGTAATATTGAGTTAATACATTTAATAACAAACCAACACATTCTCACCTGTAGGTTATCACGTTTCTTTGGAAATTTAAATCCCGGCAGTTTTTACAACCATCGGCTGTGCAGGATTGTGACATCTTCAAATATTAATTGATTATAATGGTGAATGACGTCAAGTTGACTGTTAAAGATGGCGGACACGTCTACGTGCTTGACGCAGTCGAATGGGGCATCTACCTATACATATCTATGCCCTGACTACCCAATTTCCAAAGTTAACAAGACCATATTGAGTTACTACAACTTATTTTTTAAAGAAATTCAATTAACGCAGAAATTTTAGTTTAAATTACACACAAAACTAAGTTAATGTACTGATCATTATTATTATGTCAACTGAACTCAACCAAATAATGTTTGCAACTTAAAAGGTTTAATAAAGTTATTAAATTAGAATTTTTAACTTGCAACCATGCATTTATTTAAAGGCACAATATGTAATTTTCGCCGCTAGAGGGTGCGTATTCAAAATAAACAAAGAGGCAAAGGCGTAGTTTGATAACGCTGTGACTGGGTGTGGAATCATGGGAGTTGTGGTCTTCATCCCCACAGCCGATGCAATCCAACGGGACTCGGGCAGAAATCATGTTCATGGATGAGCTAATGATTTATTAACGTAGTAGAATGAAGCAGGGTGAGGCGGAAAGCCGTCGAAGTGAAACGAGGCCGCTGAACGAGCGTGACACACGGCTCGAAAGCAGCAGAGCTTTTATTATGCCACAGTTGACCGCTTCGGCTCCTTCCGGTCTTGTGTGTGTGGGGTAAAGCAGCGCTGTTTTATCATACTAGATACATTTGAAAGTTCTGTTATAATGCTACTCTGTGCGGTCGTCACCGGTCTATTAAAACGCACAACATATTAAAGCGTCTTTGGTGTTTCCTTGTTTTCTACAAAACAAAACCGGAAATCGAGGGGTTACGACGTCATTGGCAGGCGACACAATGACACTATGGACACGCTCCGTGTCACTAGATAAAATTGCTTATTTCTCTGGATTTAAACATTCTTCGAAACATTTGGGATAATGTAAGTACACAAGTCAGCAAAATATATAACACCGTTATAGTGGTTTTTGGATATTTTAATTTAAAAAATCTTACATATTGTGCCTTTAAGTTGTGGTAACAGGCCCCCTGAATCATTTTTAAGAGTAAGGTGGCCTTATGTGTGTCCGCGCTCCTATTTGGGAGCACTACTAATAAGGTTTAGTGAAGTTTTGTTCACAAGTCAACTAAAAACTTTTAATAAATTAAGAGATTTAAGAAATGGTGGTTCATCAATATATATATATATATATATTTTTACACAAAATTGCATGAATTTTCGTGACATACTGCATACTGTTTCACAGACTATAAAAGTAGGCTGTATACAGTAAGCAAGTACTACATTTTAGTTACATAATATTATACATAGAATACAGTTTGATATGTACTTTATTTAGTTAGAAACAAACCAGAATAGCATTCTGCAATCTTTCAAACAACTCACAGATTCATTGGTCTCTAAAACATTCTCTCTTATTTCTTGTATTAATTATTCTGCTAGTTACATGATTCACAAATATAACAACTCATGACAATATTACAAAAACTAGTTCTTTCTCTAACTAGGCCTATATTTTCTTTCAACTCTGGGTGTGCTTTTAAATGTTTTTAGAGATGTCGGTCATCTGTGAGAATTAGCATTTCTGTCGATACAAACAATGCAAGAAAAATGTCAAACTTTTCAAACCGAAACATGTGTGATCAAATTTCAAGAGTGTTTGTGCCACAATCATAGTGCAGATTTCACAGCCATTTGAGCAGAGTGCATGCTAACAAACCCGTCCCAGTGTACCGTGCACAAACGAGGACACTAAACCGGAAAACAGCAACACCGTTAGGAAGCTTTACATAGCAACAAGAATCTCTATGCTCAAGCAAGCAAATGAATAGGTGCTTCACAAGACTGATGCAAAAGCCAAGCCGGTTAAGCCCTGTTTAATCTCTCACTTAAAGGACAGAGAACTGAATGCCATGTTTGTTGAGGCGGTCGACGATGGTGGTCTTGGCGAATGTCGCTCCTGGAGTGTAAACACCGCCACTGTGGAGAATCACCCAATAATATAAAGTCAGAACATGCCACTTAAAGGGACAGATCACCCAAAAACTGTATGAGTTTCTTTCTTCTGCTGAACACAAAAGAAGAATGTTGGTAACTATACAGTTGCTGGTCCCCGTTGACTTCCATAGTATTTTCTTCCATACCATGGAAGTCAGTGGGGACCAGCAACTGTTTGTTTACCATCATTCTTCAAAATATCTTCATTTGTGTTCAACAGAAGAAATTCATACATGTTCAGAACAGCTTGAGGGTGAGAATTTTCAATTCTGGGTGAACTATCCCATTAATAATACAAACTGCTTATTTAAATGTTGTTTTGACCTCATATATGGCTGGACTCACGTTTTTGGAAGAGAATCGGATTCGTTCAACATGGTAAGGGCCGCCTGAACCATAGCAATTGGTGTGGCGACGTATCCTGCCTCTAGAAAATACCACACACAAAAAATGGAAATGAGAAATATGCATTGATGCAGCTACATTAATGGCGGATTTCCACTGCATGTTACAGCTCACTTTTGGGGGGTTTTCCACTGTGTACAGTACCTAGTACCTGGTACTTTTTTTAGTATCACCTCGGTTGAGGTTCCAAGCGAGCCTTACCGATACTAAAATGTAACGTGTAAACATGGCAGATCACTGATTGGTCAGAGAAAGTCGTCACTACCAGCGTCGTTGGATTTGCGATACGATACAAAACCGCCAGTTTTAAATGCATAATCAGCAACAGTCACAGCAGTATCATTTTTTTCGCACGACTTTAAAGACCTGTTTAAAACGACAGTCACACGCAACTTGAAAAAAGAAATGGCTGTATCGTGGTCAGTAGACAAGGTGGCGGCGCAACTAATAACGATCAGTACCACCACTTTGAAGCGGTACTAAACTACAGTGGAAAAGCAAACCGAGCCAAAGTAAAGCGAGCCGAGTCGTACCACACAGTGGAAAAGCACCACAATATGAGGCAGATTTGAATACGGTACCTGGTCCTTTGACCAGAGTGCGGATCTTGCCGTTGGGTTTGCCCTCACTGGGGTCTGAACCTTCAGTGTAACCCTCTCCATGAAAGATGAAACGGAAAGAGGAGCCCTCCATCTGCAGATATCACATTTAAATGAATCAGATCCTAAAAATAGAGCTGATAGCCTAGATGATGATAATGTGGGTATAATACCTGTTTCCTAGTTGGACCTTCTTTGGAGAAGAAACCAAATGAGAAAAACTCCGGAAACTGCAGACAAAGTATATGTTTAAGATCCACAAACAAAAAAATCTAATTAAATGCAATATATAGCTTTCACAACATGATATAGCATGTTATACCTTAATGAGCAGATTTCTGCCAAAGCTGAACTTTACAAGGAAAAAGAACATCAATCCAGCGAAGACAAGTTTGAAAATGTTGGAAATACCGCCGACACCAACATACGCCCCGTACTGAACCTGTAAGAAACATACACATAGTGTCAGTACATGTAAAACATAAAACATTTATGGTAATGCAGGTCATTTTACAGTAATTTTGTTTGGTCTTTAGTAAAGGTAGATGCCAAATTTAATTTGATTTTGATGTGAATGAATATGACACAGTCAGGTCAATATGCCTTACTGTTGTATATCTTAGGCCCCGTTTACACTAGTGCGTTTTCACTGCGTTTCAGAAATGATCTCCGTCCACACTACACAACCGAAACCGCATGCCACATGACCATTCATGCAGGTACAACCATAGATATGTATAGGTAGATTCCCCATTCGACTGCGCCAAGCACGTAGACGCGTCCGCCATCTTCAACGGTCAACTTGACGTCATTCACCATTATAATCAATTAATATTCTACGATGCCACAATCCTGCATAGCTGATTTTGTAAAAACTGCCGGGATTTAAATTCCCCGAAGAAACGGGATAACCTTTCACAGGTGAAAATGTGTTGGTTTGTGTTTGTATTAACTCAATATTACAAGTTTTGAAACATTGGTAACTTATGTTACTGTTATGGTGAATGATGTCAAGTTGACCCTTCGAATATGGCGGACAGCTTATGTATAGCGGCCCATAACAGTCGCTAATGAGGCATCTACGTATACATATCTATGGGTACAACAATGAGCATGATGTTATTGTTTACACGGTCATCAAGGATACGCAGAGCTAATGTTGGCAGCTACGCCATCGTTTTCAAAAGTCTACGTTTTGGTCCGTTTACACTGAAACGCAACCCCGGAGTTTTCAAACTAAAATGGGGTCTGCAGCGTTTTACGCTAGAGTAGTGTAAACATCAGGTGTAACTGTAGCAAAAGTTATGCGTTTTAAAACGAAAACGCACTAGCGTAAACGTAGCCTTACACTTGTACATCTGTTGCTTAGCCAATGAAATGTCTTTTCACAAATTTCCAGCAGGGGGAAAAACCCTCATAGTGTGTGCTTCTTTTTTACTTACTGAACTGCCTTTACTTACATCCTTAACAAGGGAATTACATTGACTTGTGAGAAAAGACTATTGAAAAAAAGTCTATGAATTACTGCTTTAATCTTGTTGTTTAATCAGTCAATGTTGTCATTTTTCTAAAACCTCATGCGTTTACTGGTTAAACTAGTTCAGTTTCAGTCCAGTTTAACTGGTTCAGTGTTGAGTTAAACTAACACTCACATTTGTACTGTCCCCTTGCCGCCTTTTCCAATAATTCTATGTGAAAATTATGTCGGGTTGTTCATTGATACTGAACTAGTGTTATTTTATGTTCATTTGTCATTTTTATTAGTTTTCACTTTATTTCAGTTTTAGTAATTTTAATATAATATTTATATTTTGTTATATACAGCTTTATTTCAATTAAAAGTTTGAATGACTTACCGGAGACTCAGTGAGTTCTTCATTTAAGTAGCGCTGGGTCCTTTTAACCACTGATGGGTCGGAACCCATGAAGGGAATTGCATATTGTTGCAACTCGTTACTATAAAACAGTGTGCCCCTGTAAATAGAAATTAAACTTGTTGCCGTCGGCTAACCCATAGATAGCCGACTGCCAGGTGCCATCATGGATGCAGCCTCCCTGTGGGCACACACCAGAATGAGGGTCAGCTGACACTTAAACACAGAGGCTTTTTAAAAATATTTAAATATTTCAGGGTTTTTAAGGTTAAAAAAATAAGAGCACCAACCTCTGTCCCTGCACTCACAGTCAAAAAGCTCTCAATGGCTGTTAGTGTCCCTGGTAATGGAATTTAAAAAAATATATATATTAATATGCAATTAAGAATATAGTTATATAATATAATAATTACATGACAAACATACCTTTAAACTGGTCCCTGGTGTAAATGACACCCATATCTGCAGGAATGGAATCAAAACCACAGCTTCCCACAATGTAGACGCCCTTTTCAGCAGCCTGGTCATGGTAGTTTAGCTGCATACGCTCCAGGAACTGCAGCAAATAGAACATAAACAACACTGATTTCTATATTTTGGGTTTGCACTCAAACCAAAATGTTGCTCAAGTCAGTATTAAATCAAAACAGACCCAATTTGCTTGACACACATTCCTGGCCTTACAATTCATCATGTTAGTACAAAGACTATGTCTTCACGTTTGACTCAGGAAAGTCACATTATGGAATTATTGTGAATACTTCATGTCGACTTTAAGGCCGCGTGTCCACCAAAGCGTTTTTAGCCAGCTGAAAGTGCTAGGTGCTCTGCTGAAAATACCCAGCGGGTTTTTTTATCAGTTGAGACCATAGACTGTATTGAGACGCTGTGGTTTCTATGATACGGAATAACCACTGAAGTAATATGGAAGATAATTTTTCTCCAAGCCTTATTTTTCATAATAACATGGTAGTCCGGCAATTCCATCTGGTAAAGAAATAAATACTCGGAGACAAGCAATATTAACTTCTCCATTGATGTTCAGTTCAGTCGTAGACTCGTAGTACAAGCAGAGTGTGACGGTTGATTGGTATTAGTCCTGCCCCTCCTCCACTGTGATTGGTCAGCTGACTAAAAAGTGACAGTGATGAGTGCTGCATTTTACCGGGCCACCGTTCTTCAACTCTCTGGAACGAGATTAAAAACCAGGGGGCTGAAAAAGACGCTCAGCGCTCGGCATGCTCCTGGCGTTTGAAAGAAATGCGGCGCTCCCATTGAAAACAATTTTAAAAATGTGCTAGCCTCGGGGAAAAAAAGCTTTGGTGGACACGCAGCCTAATATTGTTATGACATGTTATGATCCAATGCCTGTTTATGGTTTTAGTGTAATTTTGATTGTGATCATGAAAAAAGAACAAAGTGTCAGGAAAAAGCACCTGTGGTTCTCCAGAGATATCAATGCAGTGTGTTCCGTTCTCCACACAAGATTGGACAACAGGTTCACCAAAAAATCTGTACTGTAGAAAGAAAAAAGAAATCAAAGCGCTGAATCAATACTATACACTATTTCTTCAGAAGCAAATCAGCATATTAGAATGATTTCTGAAGGATCATGTGACACTGAAGACTGGAGTAATGACGCTGAAAATTCAGCTTTACATCACAGGAATAAATTACTACATAATATTTATTTTGAATTGTAATAATTTCACAAAATTACTGTTTTAACTGTATATTTGATCATATAAATGCTGCCTTGCTGAGCATAAGAGCCTTACTGACCCCAAACTTTTGAATGGTAGTGTAAATTAACATTTAAACAATATTCTATACAATATGTAAACTATTGACTAAAAATACCTGGGGGGGAAAAAAAAAAAACTAAAATATCTGGGAAAAAAATCTTTACTCCTTTAGATATGACATGACAAACAACAACAACAACAACAACAACAACAAAAATCTAAAGCCGCAGTCACACTAGACTTGTCTTTGAGCATACAAAACTTTTTCGCATGAGCTTGCATTTCTGCTCTCGTATGAATGAAAGTCAATGGAATGAAAAGTGTATTGTGACCGACCCTTAATACAAGATCATCTGATGTTCAATGTACAACTGTGATTATCATCTTGTTTGAAGGACAGTATTGCATAACCACATATAGTCACATACAGTTGCCAGCCTGATGTAGCAAGCTGGGTAAACATTAGGGTGTTGCACTGCAAAAAGTCATTTATCAATAGCCTGATGTTTTATGACTAAACAATCATATATATAATGCAGCTCATATATAATGGATTCTGTGTGCTACAGTCTTGCATACTTACAGGCCCCACACAGCTGAGCACAATAACAGCCTGTTTGCACATGACAGCCAATGAATCTGGATCGCTGACATCTGCGACGAGAATATCTACCTCAGACTTCAGCTCCGGCTTACCTGAGAACAAACATTTTAAACATGACTGCTGTTATGCTATTGCTTGTACACTGCCATTATGCAAACTCTGCTGGGTTATGTCTCATATTTAATGCAAACTGGTGACTGTAAATTATTAAAGATTATGATTTACTGCATAAATGCAAAACGGTCTAGGCCAAACTCCATGTCATAAATAATTCAGTTGGGTCCACTAAGATCAAATAACTTTCACAAAAAGGAGTCCTAAACAGTCTTATCTTTATTCAGTGCCCCTTAATTCTTATCGAAATCTAAATATAACTCGGAGCAAATGTTCTGCTTGAGCCCATCCACTCAAAGCTACACGATTAAATGCATTGAATATGTCACTGTAATATAATTTCCCATCAGCTGTTGAGGATTAATTACACCGTCCCTGAAGACCACCATGACCAAAGAGCCTATTGTTTAAAAAAATGCATACATTATCCAAGCTAAACAATGCAGTGTATGTACTACGCCGAGGCATTTATTTGTCAAAGCAACAAAAAAAAAAGCATTAAAGAAAATCAGTTTGCCACGATGTGAGTCAAAGTCGAGTCCAATCCAGTATAGCTGGGTCAATGCAACCCTTCTAACACTTTCACATCTTTGCCAAGTTTGCAGCTCTTACAGTCTATAATGCTTCCTTTTGTACTTCAGCTAAAAGCATATCATTTAAATACAGATATTTTCAAATAGTCATTCTGCTCAACTATCCTGTAACTCTTTCAAAAGATGCAAAACATCAGTAAATATCTCTGAAGAGTCAAAACTAAATTTGCTAATAATAGTATTTTACATCTGCTGAGTATTGAGAAAAATGTCCAAACTTTGTTTGCTAAGGTTGTGGAATGCACTTATATATTAGAATGCTTAGAATTGTAACTGTTACAATATTAAAATATCATGCAACATATTAATAATTAAATAAATAATTTTGTGCTTTTGTCATTTTAAAGTTGTTGTTTTTTTCATTATCCAAGCTAAACAATGCAGTGTATGTACTACGCCGAGGCATTTATTTGTCAAAGCAACAAAAAAAAAGCATTAAAGAAAATCAGTTTGCCACGATGTGAGTCAAAGTCGAGTCCAATCCAGTATAGCTGGGTCAATGCAACCCTTCTAACACTTTCACATCTTTGCCAAGTTTGCAGCTCTTACAGTCTATAATGCTTCCTTTTGTACTTCAGCTAAAAGCGTATCATTTAAATACAGATATTTTCAAATAGTCATTCTGCTCAACTATCCTGTAACTCTTTCAAAAGATGCAAAACATCAGTAAATATCTCTGAAGAGTCAAAACTAAATTTGCTAATAATAGTGAATATCTGCTGAGTATTGAGAAAAATGTCCAAACTTTGTTTGCTAAGGTTGTGGAATGCACTTATATATTAGAATGCTTAGAATTGTAACTGTTACAATATTAAAATATCATGCATCATATTAATAATTAAATAAATAATTTTGTGCTTTTGTCATTTTAAAGTTGTTTTTTTTAACAACGTAATTTAGCAACTTTTAGCAACAAATCAACCTTCCTTTAGCAACTTCCCCTCAAAATTAGTTGGCAACACTGATTTCAACACATAATTGAAGGAGGCTTCACGCACTGAGAGCTTCGGCGGCCTGCTCCACAACTTTCTCCAGCTTGGTTCTGTTCCTGCCGGCTACGGCCCACTTCAAATTCCCCTTGGGACCCTCGGACGCGGTGCGGGCCACCTCCTCCACCACAAACTGTCCCGTGAAACCAGAAGCGCCAAAGATGATGATGTGGTAGGGTCTGCTGGATGAAGTGCTGAACGCCGCCATAGCGCTGCCGAGCTGCTGGTCGTCCGGACTGACGCTGGAAGAGACCGACTGCGATCAGCGAGACGAACACCTGACAGTTGAGCGTCTGACTTCCGCAGCGAGCGGTGCCAACGCCTTCAACTAGATGTGCATTGAAGAGCGTCATCGGTGTGCAGCTTTGTATGCGCACCTTCTGAAATGATCAATAAAATAAGGGAGGAAGATGGATGCCCAGTGGGGGGTTCGTTAAAAAAATTATTATCCACAGATTTAGAAGTTGTTGTAACTACAGAAACTACGCAGAATCATGCAAAGATAGTCTGTGTTGAGAAAACAAGAATTGCGTCGATTGTACGCATGCAGTACATCTAGAACACAACCGTGCCATCCGCCACATCGTCTTGTTTTTGATTGGTCTACTCTGTGGGCGGAATGGGGTTTGAGATAAGATTTTTAGGATTACAGTATGATATTTGTGATTTTATGAAATAACGATTTTTACGTATTGGTGCATTTTTTATATATTTTATGTGGTTTATAATTGGAAAATTAAATTTAATATAATACAGAATTAACAGACAAATACACACATTTTTTTATTGTTAATGTTACCTAAATTACATAATTGTTATAGATTATATTAATAAGATTCTTAGAATCGCAGTAAAATATTTGTATTATCACAACAATTTACTTTTTATTTAAAATATGACTATATTTTTAAAAATATTTTGTTGTTTACACTCTTATATGAATACAATATTAAATTAATATACTTAAGTAATATAATTAATACAACCACCATTTCTACTTTATGTAGATAAATAATTTAGTCAATTCACAACCCATTTTTGTCTGTAATGTGACATTTCCCCAGGATATTCAATGAGAGAAATAGTCATTAAAAAAAGATTTTAATGAATATTTATTATATTTTAATGATCAAGTCCCTAAATACCCCCCCCCCCCCCCCCTTTTTTTTTTGAACCATACAATTAGGAAATACAGCAATCATCACATGATATATACAAAATTATGTAAAACAAATATGTTCGAATTGTCTCTGTACAGACAGTAAAAGAGAGTGCATGCACCAGAACGTATAATTCTAAAAGACTTTGCATTAAATAAATACTGAAAAATCACACAATAAAGACATTCAACGGTCATCTGAACCAGCCAGACAACATACAAAATAGAAAACAGAGAGCACAAAATAAACTTTTACAGTTCTCGCCAAGTATGTCCATGCACTTGAGCAGAGCACAGCAAACAGACATCTATGTGTTAAATCTACATGTTAAAGGAACACTTTGGGACGTTTTTGTTGCTAAATATAATTTTTTGAAATTATTTTTTTAATGTAATTTTAATTTCAGAATCATGCATTATCAGAAGTCATTATTTACAATAAACTAAATTAAAAAATTCAAAGTACTGCTGTTAAAAGATACAAAACACTGTGTATACACAAGATAGCTCATAATAAATCTGTATTATCCTGAGTAAGCAAGATTAATAATACATGTTCTTTACTATTCAGCATTCAGGAATCCATTTGCCCAGTGCTTCTGCTGAGTTGGGTTTACCCCACTTCATAAATTATGTACATGAGAATGAAAGTATTGGAGACGGTCAGGAAAGAGAGTCAGTCATGTTACATCACCAGCCACCAAGGAATGAAAAAGGTCACAGAATGGTCAAACGACTAAAGACCAATCAGCACCGAGAATGAGTGGACATTCTGAAGAGCTGCCGCCCTCTGACCAATCAATACTGAATCCCATGAATAAATCTGAATATTAATGACATGAGCGATCGCGGCTGCATAGTGTTGTTATTGTTAACTTAAACTAAGTAAAACAATTAAAAATGTTTTTGAATTGAAATAAGCTGAAATAAAATATCAATGAATGAAAAAATTAGATATGGAAAAAATTAAATGAAATAATGTGTAAGCTGATGTACTAAATATACTAAAACTGAAAATAAAATTAAATAGCTAATAATATAAAAAAACTAATAAAATTTACAAAACCACATAAAATTACTAAAATTAAAAAATAAGCTAGAGAGTCACTAAGTAAGCAATAAAGGAAAGAAAAATAACTTTAAATTAATTTAATTAAGAGAGGAATGACTTTACATCGACACTATTAGTTTGTGATCTTATTGAATTAAAGGGATAGTTCACCCAAAAATTAAAATTTGATGTTTATCTGCTTACCCCCAGGGCATCCAAGATGTAGGTGACTTTGTTGTTTCAGTTGAACACAAACAAATATTTTTAACTCAAACCGTTGCAGTCTGTCAGTCATATAATGTAAGTGAATGGGAATCATTGCTTTGAGAGTCAAAAAAACATACACAAACAAAACCAAACTAAACCCTGCGGCTCGTGACGATACACTGATGTGTAAAGACACGAAGCGATCGGTCTGTGCAAGAAACTGAACAGTATTTATATAGTTTTTTTTACCTCTGATTCACCGCAATGTCCGAATTGTCCTGAGCACGTTCGCATCTTCTTTATTTGCTTTACGGAGGATCGCAGACTTATAAGTGCATTACCGCCACCTATCTCTCAAATGGATCACTGACACTCCTAATTGAGATTGTAGATAGAGTGTCAATGGTCAATTTGAGAGATAGGTGGCGGTAATGCACTTATAAGTCTGCGATCTCCCATAAAACAAGAAGAAGAAGACGTGTCACGCGCCGGCTGTCGAGGACGCGCTCAGGACAGTTCAGACATTGCGGTGAATCAGAGGTAAAAAACAATATAAATACTGTTCAGTTTCTTGCACAGACCGATCGTTTCATGTCTTTACACATCTGTGTAGCGTCACGAGCCACAGGGTTTAATTTGTTTTGTTTTTTTACTCTCAAAGCTGTGATTCCTATTCACTTCCATTATAAGACTGACAGACTGCAACGGTTTGAGTTAAAAATCTTTGTTTGTGTTCTACTGAAGAATCAAAGTCACCTACATCTTGGATGCCCTGGGGGTAAGCAGATAAACATCACATTTTCATTGTTGGGTGAACTATCCCTTTAAAAGTCATTTAAAAAAAGAGTAACAGGATTATTTTTCAATAAAAAACTGTTGGAGTCCACTCATTTCATCCTGAGAGCTTCCATATTTGGCAAGATCTGTCTCAATGAAAACAAACATTTTGGGCACTGCAATTATAGTTCTCTATTTTTACTCCATCATAGCGGTTACATTTATCAGAAGAGACTTAGGCCAAACATTTTTCAAAACCTGTAGAATGGCTCAATTCCACAGAGATTTTAAAAGCAGGTGAGCAGACCTCACTGTATAACTAAACACTGTATAAAATGTCCAAAGGCACATGAGGATGTGTTGTTACCATTGTTAAAGGTGTTGTTAGGCACAGAGTGTGTCATATGACCTATGTACATCTCTAATCAGATTTTAGTGACGGAACTGTTTCACTCAAAAGCTTTAAATACATTGATATAACATTAAATAGAGGTTGGTGAGGTAATTGTTCCTCATTTTATTTTAAGAAATATGTGTTCCTGAAAACCAGCAACAGCAAAACAGTCCACTTAAGGGTTAGATGTTAAACTCTGTTTTGCTTTAAATCTCTCACAAAAGAACTCCTGTTAGGAAGTACAAAGCACATAAGCAGCACGACAAATTAATAGGATAAAAAAACAGATGCATTAATCACTTGAGCAAATGGCACTTGAGTAGTTAGGCTTCCAAACACACCACAACGTGGTGAGCCGATCATGAAGTGGGCCATTAGCAGTCAGCAATCAACATAACAGCCCAAAAATAACACATGCTTATCATTGCTAATGAAAGTTTCCAGCTCCTCAAATGCACTCTGCTGACGCTCTTATACAGAAAAACATCACGTTTGATGAGTGTGGACTCAAAGTCAGTCGGGTAATGTTTGCTCTCTCTGTGGTCATTCAGCATTATTAGCCACAAAAGGCCGTAGTAACTCCATCACTGACCAGACATAGAAGACATGATTCTGTACATTTCTAACAAACATCGGCTCAGCAGTAGAGCTTCAGAATAAATCCACTTCCACTGCTGCGTCATTACTCAACAGATACAGCAGAGATACTTGCAATTAAAGCTATTTGATCTGCTGAGTCAATGGACTGATTCCCTAAATCATCATTTTAACTAGCGGTAGATTGATATTGGTTGGTTTTTTGACACACATACACACACACACACCAAAAATGTCAACCAATATCAGTCTACCACTAATTAAACTGATGATTTAGGGGATTTTCAGTAAATATTTTGTAAAAGCTCTCTAGATATTGGCAGTGGCCTTTAAAAAAAAAAACCCGTATCAGTCGACCACTATAACTTTGTGCAATATGTACTTGCATGCTTTATTAGATTAGCTATAGGACAAAATTTAAACTTCTAAACTGTTCTAAATAGAATAAAAATGTTTTCATAGAGATGAAATACAGACTGCTCAAAAGTTTGTAGACGGTACATTTTTTTTTAAAAGTGACATTTGCATAGTCACAAAAAAAGGTTTCAAATAAATGCTGTTCTTTTGAACTTTCAATCACAGTCGTGCTGCTTAAATATTTTTGTGGAAACATTGGTTATAAGAAATATTTTTTGAGCAGCAAATCAGCATATTAGAATGATTTCTGAAAGATCATGTGACACTGAAGACTGGAGTAATGATGCTGAAAATTCAGCGTTCCCATCGCAGAAATAACTTAAATTCATTTTAAAATAGAAAACCGACACCTGATCTATTAAAACAGAAACAGTTATTTTAAATTGTAATAATATTTCACAATATTCTTTTTAACTGTAATTTTGTTCAAATAAATGCAGCCTTGGTGAGACTTCTTTCAAAAACATAAAAAAAATCTCACAGACTCTAAACTTTTGAATATGCTTAAATTACTATATGCCTGAATAACTTAACGGATCTCAACAACAGTGCTGTAGCGAAGATGGCATATCATATTCTGGCAGTGCTGTGTACAGTATGTTCTGGGCATTGAGTCTACTACAAATGAACCAATAAATAATGAGCATTTTAATATTGCACTTCATAATACAAAGACTGCAAACATGTTTTGATTTTGGTTTTAGAGGTCAGTAGGTTCTGTCTGGTTAAAAAGCATTAGAATTTGGTCCTACTGAGCACAACTTAATCTGCACGCCCACCATGTTTTCAACCTTTCCAAGAAAAGGGAAAGCTCAGACAAATGTTCAAAAGTTCAAACATTTTAACCAGCTCAACAGACTCACTTTACTGTACAGGCTGAAGGTCACAATCGCCATTATTGTTGAGTCACAACTCTCATGAAACATCTATTATGGCACACTTAAGAAGATATTTTGGTTCAAAATATCTACAGGTTTGGAACGACATGTGCCTGGATAATGACAGATTTATTAATTTTTTTTAAAGATAATACTTTTTTTCTGCAAAGATGCAATAAATTAATAAAAACAGAGTAAAGACGTTATTATGTCACAAATTAATTCTATTTCAAATAAATGCATAATAAATGCTTTTGAACTTTGTATTTATTGAAGAATTCTGAAAAAATGTATCTCAGTTTCCACAAAAATAAACTGTAACAATATTACACAATTACAAAATGGTGCCTTGGTGAGCGTTAGAGACTGTTTTATAAAAAAAAAATCTTGCCAACCTCAAACTTTTAAATGGTAGTTTTATATTGACAGCACAAACTTACACAAGATGCCACACTAAACACTAGTCATGAAATCAAGATCCCTCTGCTAAGAAACGGCACATCACATGATTGGGAACAGAGCACAAAGCGTTTAAGGATATTGGCTTCGTGAAAGCCTGTATTGTGCTGGCAGAGATCAGTGGTCCAGATTTCATTGTTAATTGTCTCATTGAGGGTGGATGTGTCATTATGGCTGCCTGTTACAATCATTCAGCTCTGGTATTCGGGGGAAAGGTCACCCTTCAGGGCATCCAGTTCTCAGAATCACTGCTAAGATTCCGATATCTATTATGTATGTTCTTATCAAGACGCCTTCTCACCACAGTAACTTACAAGAAAGTAAAAGAGGTAATTACCAAACCGGGAGCTGAGATCATACAAGCTAAGCTTAAAAAACCAAGTATAGCAAGAAAATTATTATTAGAATATATCACGTTTTTACACATGGTTGCCATAGATGAGTCCCTATGAGCTCTGGATTAAAGGGATAGTTCACCTAAAAATGATTTCTGTCATAATTTCTGTCTGTTCTTTCTTCAGTGAAAATATAAAAAATATATTGAAGAATTGTCCATAGAATGGAAGCCGTTGGTCTCCAAAATGGTTTCGTTACCAACATTCTTCAAGATATTTTCTTTTATGTTCTGCAGAAAACAAGTCATACAGGTTTGGAACAACATGAGGGTGAGTAAATGATGACAGCATTTTGATTTCTGAGTGAACTGTCCCTTTAAGAACCAGTGAGACACGCTGTCGATTACCACAGACAATTCTGACTCCCACAGTTTTGTAAACTCTTAAAAAAAGAAGAAGAAAGGTCTAGATGGGACATAAATATGGTTATTTTACAATTATATGAATCTATTATTAATATAATTATTTTATGTTTAATAAAATCATACAATTGTATTATTTCATATAGTATTGAAGGTACTACTATGGTGGGTTTCAAACAATGCAATGCTTCAACTTCTGTAAGACCACTTATTTGAATTCTTTTGTGCAAAAATAAGTTATTTTGAGATATTAATAGCTGCGAAATTGTCTTTTTAGCATTGGGACTACTGTTATAGGCAGAAAGCCATATTAACAGTTTTTTAAGCTCGAGTTATTCTTTCTAGTAACCTTAACATGTGAAAGTTACCAGGGTTAAAATAAGGATTCATAATATTGCATAGACAAGGTCTGAAATCTATTCTATCTGTCTCAAGATAGAAATCAAAATGATTGTTTATCTTGTATTGAACCTAGAATATTCCTGTAAGTCAGTGACAACACTGCAGTTAAAGAGATGATAAGGGTTTCCGATGCGAGATGACATCACTATGACCTCACTGGATGATATCATAGTGATGCTAGCAGCTTCTAAATCTTGAAAAAGGAAATTAAGTTTCACAATAAACCACTTAAGGTGATGTGTGCTAAGTGTTAATACACTGTCTCTTATCCCAACTTGCAATACAGACACTTAAGTAAGCCATTTATAGATTGATTCTTCTGATGATTAAATTAGGTGATGCTAGTGGTGTAGAGAGACACTTTCCCTTTAAAATGCCTGTCAAATTTGCATATTACTCACAATATATGCAGAATATTAAGAGTTACCAATCTTAGAATCAGGAAAAGCTTAGCAAAGTGCTTAAGAGACTAATCGGAGAGACCTTTAAATCTAATATGATTAGAAATTAAACATTCTCCAAACAAAGCCATGCCAAGCACTAAACAACAAATAAGCCTCTTTGTCATTTGAATGTGAACTAAACTGACTGAAAATCTGTCACCCACCTCTTCCACCTGTATGCGTTTGGCCATGTCATCCAGCATGGACACATTCATAATATCCAGCGACTCCACTCCGTTCCCGTTCTCCTCTAGCTCCAACTCTAGTGTTTTCTCTGGAACGTCCTGCTCCAGAGGAACCTGCTTAGTGTGTGGGACGGGCTCCACCTCATCCTGCTCCGTATCCACAGTGTCCCCCGTTCCCTCCATCACCACTCCGGGGCCATCAGTGTCCGTCTGAGGCGGCTGGGCCTCTGTGTTGTGGGGTTGAGCAGCGTCTATTGGTGACTGGGGCTCTGGTGCGGCATCCCTGTGGGAAGCTGCCACACTCCCGCTCTCCTCTTCTGCTCCTGCATCCTCACAGGCTGGAGAGGAGGAGCTGTCTGTCACTGCCGAGGAGGGGGAGGGGTCATGCTGCTGTTCGCTCTGGAGGGATTGTGGGGCAGTGCTGCTACAATCGTCAGGCTGGATGACTTCCTGTTGTGCCTCACATGTACTCTGATCCTCCATAGCCTTCCCTGTTTTAGATGGAAAGAGAGAAGACAGTTTATATGAAACTTATGAAATATTCTTCTTGGGAATCAAAGGTTCAAAATGGAATACTAGCATACTGCACAGAATGTACTATTACACTGCCTGCGTTTTGTTAAAATAATCTGTGAAACATTTCACACTTCAAACAAAACAATCCATATTGTCACTTTACTATATTTAATTTAGCAAGTGGTGCCCAGATATCATCTTGCAAATACATGGTTATTTAGCAGTTTTATTAATGTATTACTGATTGTAAATTTTTTACATAAAATAGTACAATTTAAATATATATATTTTTGCAATTTACATAAACGGTTTGTGTACAAATGTCTTAAAAGAAAAGTTTCCCCCACATTTAAATTAAAATCAAGAAAAATAATAATATTTTAATAATAATGTTTAATTTATAATGTAAAAAATTACATTTTAATAAAATGTTTCATATAAAATAACATGTTTTTTCTATTATTAAATATTAAAGTTTTAAAATTTGAATTTTACCATACCACCATTTTACCAATTTTAATAGAATTACCATATAATTGTGAATATTGTCATTAATATTTTTGTTTATATATATATATTAATAAAATATAATATGAAACTAAATTTTTGAAAGAAAAAAGTTTTAATTTACAATACAAATTTTAATTTAGTTTTTATTAACAATACAATTACTTTTTTTTTTTTAAAGTAAAAAAAAAAAAAAGAAAATAAATCATTAATTTAACCAAAAATAAATAAATTATGAATAAATCATTTTAATAAATTAAACGTTTGTGTACAAATGTCTTAAAGGAACAGTTCCCCCCAACATTTTAGTCTTACTCTCCCTCATGTTGTTCCGATCCTATGACTGTCTTTCTTCCATGAAATGGTGAATTTTCAAAACTTGTGAATTAAAAGGATGGCACTTCTTACATTTAGAATTTTGCCCAACCCTGACACGTGCTGGAAACTAAATTCTGAACTAAACACACCTGATGTCCCTCCCCCCAACCTGCTTGCACTATGTCTGATTTCTTTGTGTTGAATGACCACGTGGTCATTTGACCATCAGACCCTTGTGTACAACAGAACAGATCAATGGCAGACGTCAATCACTATCGATGCATCGTGGTCCTGTTGCCTGAACCGCTGTGGATCAATAATGCAGGACTCCACTGTTGACTGTCCTCTGCTCCCTTGGCGGTCATAAACACACATGCAGGGTGCTGTGCTGCTCAGAGACAGGATCTAAGTGATGACAGCTCACTGTCAGAGCTCAGCGAAAGACACAAAACAACCAGCACTGGGCCCAATACAGTCTGATGCTCAATTTCTATCTATGTATGTATGTACAGTATATATATATATATATATATATATATATATATATATATACTTTTCTGGCAATTTAATATTTTATAGCTGAAGATTATTAAAATATAATAATGAAATTTTCAAATAAATTTTAAATAAAAAATATTAAAATAAATAAATAACCAACAAAATGAAAGTTAAAGTGATTAAATTAAATATAATAAAATAGACTTTATTTAACATTTAAAAATATTTAAATTAAAATTAATAAAACTTAATATAAGTAAATACAAAAATATTTAAATTAATAAAATACAAGGAAAAAATATAATTAGATAAATGATAGAATTAGATAACAAAATATATAATTAGATAAATTAATTTATGTAAATTCATTCATTTTAATTTAAATAGAAAAATCTATCAATCAATTTACTTTTGCCAGCCTGGGAATCACATTTTAAAATGTGCTAATATTCCTGATTCCATAACCAATTAACCTGTTGCATGTATATTCTAGATTAAGTTTTTAATGAGTTTTGTTTATTTAGAAATTTTATAATATAGGCCATTGTATTATTTAAAGCCATAACATTAAAATAATTGCTATAAATACATGTATATAATTTGTATTGGCCTAAATATTCTTTCTCAGTGCATGCCTAACAAAAAGTTTATTATCTTTAGAAAGACTTTCTGATAAATTATAACGCATCAGACAATCAGAAACCACAGTTCAAACCAACTCAAACGCACCTTGACATCTAACAAAGGGCATGATATTATGATGAACGTTTGGACGAGAATTTTGCATGAACAAGCAGTACGAGTGAATGCAATCAATCTCTAACTTATGTGTCTAGGAGGGTAACTGTGCAGGGCGAGATGCAGCTGCTGCAGGAGTCGCGGACGCGCTCCAGAACAGGTGGCAGTGGCAGAGGCTTTTGCAAGAGTGAGAAAATGTGTGTGTGTGTGTGCTGCCATGCCTGGTGTGTAAAAGTGAAACCGGGTCAGGGAACTCAATGCGAGTAACACTGTGTTCAGGTAACATACCCTGCACCACATCAGCTGCGAGAGCTAGTGAGAAAGAGAGGCTCATCAATAAGGCATGATCTGGAGGGACAGGAGGGAACTCTAACTCTGTGTGTGTGTGTGTGTGCACTTGAAGAAGGGGACAAGGGGTTTGCCTCGTCCACAGATGATGAAAGAATGTTTCTCGAAAGGAAGCTGTAGGGTCTAATCTACTAAAAAGACTGTAAACTAGGTGTAAACAACTAATATTAAAAGATCACATTAAAACTATTTCCATTCTTGATAAATGTTAAGTAGTTTTATTTGCCACGATTCAATGCAAATTTACTGTCAAAACCACATATATATATATTTTTTTAAATATTATAACTTTCTCCACCTCTGAAACAAATTTCTGATGATAAAACCATAGTGAGAAAAACAGCATTTATTAATAACATCACAGCTTAATTGTTGTTAACTAATGTTTTCATTCAATCAAATCTGCTGATTTGCAAAAAACTTTAAAAAACATATCAGAAGCTGAGTTCAAATATATCAATTTAAAAAAAAAAACTTTCCATAATTGTATATTTTTGGGGGAATTTTTTTTTATATATATATATATATATATATAATTCTAATCCTTAATTCTTATTTTGTGTGAAAACGGTATGATGAAAGTATTTTTAGTAAAAATATATTAAAATATTACAAATATATACACAAAAGCAGTGAAATTACATGTTTCAATAACAAAATGAAGTTTTCAAAATGTATCATTTAACTCAGGAATGGTTAAAGTTGAAATCAGGATTAAGCATAAAATAATATCTACAGAATTATCATGAATCATATGAAAATCAGCTGAGAATTGAACATAGTTGTAACCTGGCTCAGAGGAAAACAGGAATCATGTCTTTGTGGCAGTTTTTCTGGTGATTAAGGTATAGTATGGTGTTATCGCATCATGAAGTGAAGTGACGTGTGGCCAAGTATGGTGACCCATACTCGGAATTAGTGTTCTGCATTTACCCATCCAAAGTGCACACACACAGTAGTGAACACACACACACCGTGAACACACACCCGGAGCAGTGGGCAGCCATTTATGCTGCGGCGCCCGGGGAGGGGTTCGGTGCCTTGCTCAAGGGCACCTCAGTCGTGGTATTGAAGGTGGGAGAGAGCGCTGTACATTCACTCCCCCCACCTACAATCCCTGCCGGTACAAGACTCGAACCCACAACCTTTGGGTTATGAGTCCGACTCTCTAACCATTAGGCCACGACTTCCCACGTAGTAGTATAAGTATAAGACAACTTAGTATCTCTAACCTTAGTATAAGACAACTCTTATATTTTGTGAGAAATTGTTACACTGTTGAGCAAAACAGAGACTATTTTTGGAATCGGCACCCCAAAATTATTAAGAAACAAGTATTGGATTTCCTTCAGTAAATATGATGCAGGGCGGTGTTATTTCACACTGAATAAATACACACATCACATTATTGAAATTGCTCTGATGGTAGGAAGATTCCTCATTTATGTTAATAATAATTAAATTTAAATAAAAAAGCCCTAATAAATATATCTAGTACAGATAAAATATCAAGTCTAAGATGATTTTCCTGTAGTTGTTAGTCTATTTTAGGTGGTCTGGCCTGTCACTGGAGAAATAAACTCACCTGAGCTGCATGAAAGCTCTTGCGTGTTCAGGTTTTGCTCTCCTCCCTGTGTTTCTCTGATCACACTGTTCCTTTGCACTTTGGACAGCTCACACTATGAACGCACACAGACAACAACGACTTTCAACCTTTTCACTGGTCTTTAAACATGGATTTCCCCCCCCCTCTTATCGTACAGACAAACGTAAACATCAAAGAGGTGTCTTACTTTCTCAACGCTCCATGCAGGTCTGAAAAAAGACAAGAAACGGTGAAGTGTCAGTCAAAATCATCTTAAGGAGCTGTAGTATCTGTATTTTTTTTCTCGCTCCATCTCTCTCGTAGCAGGACAATGTGCATAAAAGGGGACTCGAATCTAAGCTTGCTCCGCTCAGCGGGAATCTAATATTAGCGCAGCACATTTCCCAAACTGAAACTCTAGCACTTGTCTCAAATTGCTGAAAGCACAGCAATGGGCCATTTGCTTAAACCATTACAGGACTGCAAACTGCAGCCAGAGTGAAGAAATGAGACACAGACGAGCTAAATTTAGGAGGGGAAAGAGAGAAGCTCAGGTGTGGCTGCCGGTGAAAGTGTCTGGCCCGGACGAATGGGACAGAAGGACACAGCTTTTACCCCGTACTTAAATTGTGAAGTGGCTCGAAAGGTTAAACATTTACTTGTACTCCATTTACAGCACTGCTAACATATTTTTACAGAGATCAAGCTCCATAGGACACCTGATCTAGGAGAATATAGATTATAAAAAATAGAGAAAAATATTTAGGAAAACTTTTAGAGAAGCAACAAATTAATAAAATAAAACGGTGTTGATGTGATATGTGTGGCTGAACTAATGTTGCATGCAATAAAAAAATAAAAAAATAAAATAGTTTTGATCTGTGTGGCTGATCTATTGTAGAGTGCCATAAAATAAAATAAATAATTATTTTAAAAAGTAAATTAAAAATAAAATGTAATATTGTTGACCTGATATGTGTGGCTGACCTGTAGTATGGAACAAAATAATTTTTTTAATATAAAATAAAATAAAAAAAATATTGTTGACCTGACCTGTGTGGCTGATTTATTGTAGAGTGCCATAAAATAAAATAAATAATGATTTAAAAAAGTAAATTAAAAATAAAATGTAATATTTTTGACCTGATATGTGTGGCTGACCTACTGTAGAGAGCAATACAATAAAATGATGAATAAAAAATAAAAATAAGTTAAAAATTAAAAAATATTGTTGACTTGATCTGTGTGACTGAATTAATAAAGTGTGCAATGAAAAAATAAAAATATATATTGTTGACCTGATCTTTGTGGCTAAACTAATGAACCTTCCACTTTAAAATTAATAATTAAAACATACACAAACAAATAAATAAAGTTGACCTGATCTGTGTGGCTAATGCAGCATGCAATCAAAAAATTATTGTTAATATACAAATATATATATATATATATATATATATATATATATAAAACATATAAATAAATAAAATATTGTTGACCTAATCTGTGTGGCAAACCTATTGTAAAGTACAAAAAAAATTCTGAATAAAAAAGGTGAATTCAAAATCAAATCAAATCAAATAGTGTTGACCTGATCTGTGTAGCTGAACTGAAGCGTGCAATAAAATAAGTAAAGTTGACCTGATCTGTGTGGCAAAAGTAATGTAGCGTTCATGTGCAGTGTGCACTCACTGTCTGTGCGTTCTGCAGATGTGTCTCAGTTTCTCCAGGTGTTCAGCATCCAGGTCACCGTCTCTGTCTTCTGGACCGTCCTGACACTGGCCAACCAAACTCCATCTCCTCTCTGATCACAGAAAGACCAGGTTAAAAGGTGTTCCATCACGTACCACCTCTGGGTAACAGTTTCCCAGAATCCACTTACCCCACTGCTGCTGTAGGGCGGCAAGGTTAGACAGCAGACGTTCGTGATAGAGTCTCTCTAACTGTATGAACCTGACTGCTCTCTCATCTGCAAAATGCTCTGGTTAAGGAAAATCTACAGGAAGCGGGAGACCCCAAAGCACCAATGCACTTTACAACACCGAAACTAAAGAATGCCACAGTGAAATACTATCATATAAGATGATGACTGGCTGCAGTAATGCACTGAATGTAATACAATAAACAGCTCTATATCCATAAACATTGTGAGCATCCCTGATTCTGTTACAATAACAAAGGCAATGGGGTTTAAAATAGGAGCTATAATGGAACAAGCGTCAATACAACACAAAAGGCTGTTCAAACACACCATTACACAGAGCTCTATTTTTTTATATAATTGAGAAAACAATAATATTAAGGATACAGTCCTCCTCACGCACATATGACTCTGCAATCTGTAAAGAAGAGAGTTTAGCCTGGAGTTATTATGCATTACATTACACAATGAAAAGCATCATTAGGTAACACTGTACAATAGCTCTAAATCATAATGTATTGCATTATATAATACAGGTCATTAATTAAAGTACATTTAAAATGTGATTTATGTATCATATGTGACCCTGTAATGGCTAAAACTAAATTAAAACTGTAATGGATAAAACTAAGAAGTACTGTAATGGATAAAACTAAATTAAAACAAATACAAATAAAAATGAGAAAAGCGCTACCAAATTAATAAAACTTAAACTAAAATAAAAATGAAAACTGAAAATATTAAAATTAAATTAAATTACAAATCTTAACATGTGATATAACAGTATCGAAATAATACTAAAATAACTAATAAAATATAAATAAAAAGGTAATTGTGACTTTTTAACTCTTAATTCTGATTTCTATTTTTTTGCAATTCTGATTGTATATCTCACAATTTAGATTTTTTATTCTCTCTGAAGTTTACATCTTTCTCTCTCTTTTTTCTGCCGTGGAATAAAAAATGAAAAAGGTAGTTTTTCACAATTCTGACTTTTCTTCTCAGAATTGCGAATTAATATCTTGCAGTTCTGAAGGGGGAAAAGATACAATAGCCTTTTTTATTTTTATTTTTATACAATGGTGGACATATGCTTCCGTGTATATATATATATATATATATATATATATACAATCATTTAAAAAAATTTGTCTACTATAAATATGGGAGATCATATGTTTACATGATATCTATTTCTGAATGACCCACTTTTTCTGCCTACTTTCAATAAATGGTCCGTGTGAGCTGAAGAAGGAGCTTTGCTGTTCATGTTTGAGTATACACTGTGCACGTAAAAAGTGAAAAGAAAATCCAATTATCCAAGATTTGCTCCATTTAAAACCTCTCATAAGAACAAAATCCACAGGGGAATAAATGAGAGCAGTTCCAGCAGAGCCGTCTTGTAAATCTCTCCTCAGGATGAAACTAAACCAGCTGAGCATCTGAGCAAAGATGCTCTTGTAAAACATGTTGAATAAGGTCAAGCTCAAATAAACATTTAATAGAGCTTTACCATTTAAGGTGCTGGTTATTCTGCTTCCTATCAGATTCTTCATGTACTGCAATCAGTCAATGTTATCAGCACGGGCCAACAGCAACAACAGACTAACACAAGCTTATTAATGAACAATGTGGAACAGCACAGGAAAATTCATCTCATGTTCTGGCTCATACACTATAGCGAGGCAGACTGAAGTAATAAGAGGTTTGCACCATCTACTGGCAGTAAACAAGCTAACAGATGCCCACCGTCACAGTAAATATAAGTGCTTTGTCAAAACTGATTGAAAATGAGGTTTAAAGGACAGAAGTTTAGTCTGTTCAACATGTCAAGTTGCAAGTTTTCATTGCTTTGTTCAAAAGTTGTTTTTTTACTACTTTTATTCAGCAACACATTGTTTCTCAGCATATTAGAATGATTTCTGAAGGATCATGTGACACTGAAGACTGGAGTAATGATGCTGAAAATTCAGCAGTTAATGTTATTCATCTCTCACATTTACTTAAGAACCTTTCATTTAACACTTAATTTAGTCATTTTGAGCAGAGAGACACACAGAGAAGATGATGTAGAACAGGAGTACGAGACCTGATGGAGGCACTGTGGCAGAAGAGGGTGGTCTCCCTGCTCCCCCAGCTCCTGGAGAGACGCCACCAGGGAGCGAGCGAAGCCCTGGGGTGATCCAGCATCACCGTGAGGCGTCCCTTCAGGGCTCACAAGCCCCTCTGACACTGAAAAGACAAATATGACATCCTCTTTGATAAGTGTTGACACTGAAAATGTGCTAGAGTAACCCTAACTGTTTGGTATTTTAGCATAATTATTACCAATAGACTTACATTTATGTGGTTCGGTGTTATTTTAGTATAGTTTATACACTTTTAGTTTTTAATATTTTGAAAATCTTTTTTATATTTTCAGTTTTCATCTTAATTTTAGGTTAATTTTTTGTATTTTTGTTTAATTATTATTATTTTTTTTTTCAGTTTTAGTTTTATTTCAATTTTATTCTACTTATTTTCCATTTATTTATTTACTATTTAATTGCTTGCTTCAACTGATTTCATTTAGTTGCCAAGGGAACATTTCTAATTTTCGTTTAGCTTATCCATCTAATACTTATATTTGATCATATTTGTGACCCTGGACCACAAAACCAGTAATAAGGGTAAATTTTTCGAAATTGAGATTTATACATTATCTGAAAGCTGAATAAATAAGCTTTCCACTGATGTATGGTTTGTTAGGATAGGACACTATTTGGCCGAGATACAACTATTTGAGAATCTGGAATCTGAGGGTGCAAAAAAATCTAAATACTGAGAAAATCGCCTATAATGTTGTCCAAATGAAGTTCTTAGCAATGCATATTACTAATCAAAAATTAAGTTTGAATATATTTACAGTAGGAAATTTACAAAATATCTTCATGGAACATGATCTTTACTTAATATCCTAATGATTTTTGGCATAAAAGAAAAATCAATAATTTTGACCCATACAATTTTTTTTGGCTATTGCTACAAATATACCCCAGCGACTTAATACTGGTTTTGTGGTCCAGGATCACATTTCAGTTTATTTCAATTAACAAAACTGTTTTTAATAATCTTACATAACGGTAATAACCCTGATTTGGTTATCCAAGACACATCTAGATGTCTAAATGCTCCAAAAATTGAATTGAGAGGTTACACCCAGTGTTTGTACATCAACACAGATATATCCCGCTCTAGAGGTTGGCCCTTATTATTCATGCCACTCAAACCTGTCTAAAAGTTGCGCGACAACAATGGGACGCAGTCACTCGTTCAACAGCAGAAACCGAAACAAAAGTCTAGCACTATTACTCAGGGTATCTGAATCCTCGCAGACAATAGAAACGTTTCTCCACCCTCAGCCTGATCAAGTGAATAACATAAATCTGTCCGTGTCATTCAGGATGACACCGTTTGGACTGGGCTGTGCCCATTCAATGTCCAAGGAATATTCAATATTAATCATTTTTATTTTTGTATGCAAGTGCTCCCTGAGTGTAGCAAGCTATAGAATGAATCAGATTATATATTATTAGCATACACCTGATTCATTCTAGCACAGCACTGTTAACTTTGACAGAAAAAAATCCTCTTGATTGGCATATAAAGCCACTAAGCATTATTTTGTTATGTATTTATGGACTATATAGGTGTACTCAAGAATATCTCATTGATTTATTACTAGCCTAATTCTCAGAATATCTTGTAACGATTCTGAGAATTAGGCTAGTTTTTAGAAAATTTTGAAAGATCATGTGACACTATACGAAATGATACTGAACTGATGGGTTTCAACCAACCACTAAACCACACACACACAGAGGATTATGGGATATGGGCAATGAAGGCTACATCTATGCTGCGCTTCAGGTTGTTTTTCAAACTGTGGTCTGTAAGTTGTCTGTTACCTGTGGGACTGGGGCTGGGTGTTGGTGAGTCTCGGATGTGTCCATCCAGCTCTGGAGAGTATGCGCCACTGTTACTATCCACCTCTTCCTCCTCCTCGTCTTCCTCGTCCTCTACCTTGGAGCTATCATAATCTTCGTCATCACCGTTGTTATTAGTATTATCCTGTCGGAGGGGCCTCTGTCCACCACGGGGCCCCTGTTCGACCTCCTCCGCTTCCTCCACCAGTCGGTCCTGGTTTTCGTCTGGGCTGCGGCTGGAGTCAGAGTCATTTAGGAGGTCAGGGTCGGTTACTCCTCCCCGCCTCACTGGGCCGTCGCTCTGCCACTGTCCGTCGTCCATGAGGTCCCGCTGACAGAGAGCATGAAGATCCACTCGAACCCCTGCAGGCCTCTCAGCCACTCAACGGCGCTCCCGCCCGGCCGCTGGAGAGCAGATCAGAGGGACACTTTAATGGCCGTGAGCCATCATGGAAAGTATAAGAGAACTGACTCATAGTTTACCCATAATTCCACTTCGGGTTGGCTGAATGCAGTGCATGAATCAAAACACTTGAGATTTGTCCATTTGTCTTGCATTTGTTTATAGCTGTATTAATCAGAGGCCAAATGCAAAATAGGTTTTTGCTAATGTTTTTGTTAATCTCTACAGCTTTGGTATAATTTCACACGATACCATTAGAGATAATATTTCAAAAAGGAATTTAGAAAACTGGTTTTAATAAATACCATAAATATATATATAAATTTTTTTAAATTCTATTTATAAAATGTTCATAATATTATTTTTCCCCCCAAATATTCACTTTAAAAGAACTACCACTGTACTGTGACCAAGGTTACATTACATTTAAAATGTTTAATGCAATAAGAAGTGAAATACTGTAATAGTAGAAATAAATAATCAAGGATTTTTATCTATATAAAAGGAAGAATGATTTTAAATGGTTCATTTACCAATATAACAATACTTAAAATGTGCTAGAGTAACCCTAACTGTTTGGTATTTTAGCATAATTATTACCAATAGACTTACATTTATGTGGTTCGGTGTTATTTTAGTATAGTTTATACACTTTTAGTTTTTAATATTTTGAAAATCTTTTTTATATTTTCAGTTTTCATCTTAATTTTAGGTTAATTTTTTGTATTTTTGTTTAATTATTATTATTTTTTTTTTCAGTTTTAGTTTTATTTCAATTTTATTCTACTTATTTTCCATTTATTTATTTACTATTTAATTGCTTGCTTCAACTGATTTCATTTAGTTGCCAAGGGAACATTTCTAATTTTCGTTTAGCTTATCCATCTAATACTTATATTTGATCATATTTGTGACCCTGGACCACAAAACCAGTCATAAGGGTAAATTTTTCGAAATTGAGATTTATACATTATCTGAAAGCTGAATAAATAAGCTTTCCACTGATGTATGGTTTGTTAGGATAGGACACTATTTGGCCGAGATACAACTATTTGAGAATCTGGAATCTGAGGGTGCAAAAAAATCTAAATACTGAGAAAATCGCCTATAATGTTGTCCAAATGAAGTTCTTAGCAATGCATATTACTAATCAAAAATTAAGTTTTAATATATTTACAGTAGGAAATTTACAAAATATCTTCATGGAACATGATCTTTACTTAATATCCTAATGATTTTTGGCATAAAAGAAAAATCAATAATTTTGACCCATACAATTTTTTTTGGCTATTGCTACAAATATACCCCAGCGACTTAATACTGGTTTTGTGGTCCAGGATCACATTTCAGTTTATTTCAATTAACAAAACTGTTTTTAATAATCTTACATAACGGTAATAACCCTGATTTGGTTATCCAAGACACATCTAGATGTCTAAATGCTCCAAAAATTGAATTGAGAGGTTACACCCAGTGTTTGTACATCAACACAGATATATCCCGCTCTAGAGGTTGGCCCTTATTATTCATGCCACTCAAACCTGTCTAAAAGTTGCGCGACAACAATGGGACGCAGTCACTCGTTCAACAGCAGAAACCGAAACAAAAGTCTAGCACTATTACTCAGGGTATCTGAATCCTCGCAGACAATAGAAACGTTTCTCCACCCTCAGCCTGATCAAGTGAATAACATAAATCTGTCCGTGTCATTCAGGATGACACCGTTTGGACTGGGCTGTGCCCATTCAATGTCCAAGGAATATTCAATATTAATCATTTTTATTTTTGTATGCAAGTGCTCCCTGAGTGTAGCAAGCTATAGAATGAATCAGATTATATATTATTAGCATACACCTGATTCATTCTAGCACAGCACTGTTAACTTTGACAGAAAAAAATCCTCTTGATTGGCATATAAAGCCACTAAGCATTATTTTGTTATGTATTTATGGACTATATAGGTGTACTCAAGAATATCTCATTGATTTATTACTAGCCTAATTCTCAGAATATCTTGTAACGATTCTGAGAATTAGGCTAGTTTTTAGAAAATTTTGAAAGATCATGTGACACTATACGAAATGATACTGAACTGATGGGTTTCAACCAACCACTAAACCACACACACACAGAGGATTATGGGATATGGGCAATGAAGGCTACATCTATGCTGCGCTTCAGGTTGTTTTTCAAACTGTGGTCTGTAAGTTGTCTGTTACCTGTGGGACTGGGGCTGGGTGTTGGTGAGTCTCGGATGTGTCCATCCAGCTCTGGAGAGTATGCGCCACTGTTACTATCCACCTCTTCCTCCTCCTCGTCTTCCTCTTCCTCTACCTTGGAGCTATCATAATCTTCGTCATCACCGTTGTTATTAGTATTATCCTGTCGGAGGGGCCTCTGTCCACCACGGGGCCCCTGTTCGACCTCCTCCGCTTCCTCCACCAGTCGGTCCTGGTTTTCGTCTGGGCTGCGGCTGAAGTCAGAGTCATTTAGGAGGTCAGGGTCGGTTACTCCTCCCCGCCTCACTGGGCCGTCGCTCTGCCACTGTCCGTCGTCCATGAGGTCCCGCTGACAGAGAGCATGAAGATCCACTCGAACCCCTGCAGGCCTCTCAGCCACTCAACGGCGCTCCCGCCCGGCCGCTGGAGAGCAGATCAGAGGGACACTTTAATGGCCGTGAGCCATCATGGAAAGTATAAGAGAACTGACTCATAGTTTACCCATAATTCCACTTCGGGTTGGCTGAATGCAGTGCATGAATCAAAACACTTGAGATTTGTCCATTTGTCTTGCATTTGTTTATAGCTGTATTAATCAGAGGCCAAATGCAAAATAGGTTTTTGCTAATGTTTTTGTTCATCTCTACAGCTTTGGTATAATTTCACACGATACCATTAGAGATAATATTTCAAAAAGGAATTTAGAAAACTGGTTTTAATAAATACCATAAATATATATATACATTTTTTTAAATTCTATTTATAAAATGTTCATAATATTATTTTTCCCCCCAAATATTCACTTTAAAAGAACTACCACTGTACTGTGACCAAGGTTACATTACATTTAAAATGTTTAATGCAATAAGAAGTGAAATACTGTAATAGTAGAAATAAATAATCAAGGATTTTTATCTATATAAAAGGAAGAATGATTTTAAATGGTTCATTTACCAATATAACAATACTTATGTAAGGATGAAAGAAACTCAGATACTTTGATCTCCTGAGAAACAGACAATACAAACATACACGGGCATCTCTGAGACACCCCACAGAGTGGAGGTGCAGGAAACGCCTCTCTCACATATGCATCAGTTCCTTCTCATCCCCTTCCTTCCCTTTACCCATCCTCCCTCCACTTGGTTCACTCAGAATGGTTAATGTTCTAATGTTCTACATGAATACAAATAATATTTAGTCATGTTTGGTATCATTTGAATAGTCTCAGGGTGAGTGGTCTCAATCTTACAATCTTACAAAAGTAGACTAAAAGATAATACAGATCCTAAGAGTTAAGGGATATTTTGCTTACTGTAATGGCAGTGCCCTCTACCAGGGTCGTCCATGTAAATTACCTTCTGTTCCCATTGAGGTGTAAACTACCAATGCAAATTCCAATTGTTTGTACATGCCTCCATTTGGGGGATGTTTTATCTTGGTTTTGTATTTGAAGTATTGCAGCAAAAGGGTCGGGGAGATTCTGCAGCTAGAATGAGCCCATAGTATGAAGGGTGTCCACACACTTCATACTATGTATTTTTCTAAACGTCAGATATTCATCTTACTCTTAGATTCATCTTTGAGAATTGGATGTTTTGTATTGATTTGATATCTTTGAATTGGCTATGTAATTGGCATAATACATATTTACCTGACTGATAATAAATTGTTACATTTGATTTTATTCTGACCTACTCTGAAGTTATTTTCTTAAGTAGATTAAGTGAAGGCATATGTTACTGCAAATCTGTGTCCAGGGTTAGTACATACTGAATCTCAGGTTAGATGGAGCATGGGGCACATCAGGTGAGATTATAGATTTCTGACTAACTGCTTGACTTTAGTTAAGTTGTTATGCAGTTGCTTTAACTATGGGTGGGCTAGACAAAATACTGCTGGAGTACTAGCATGGTTCGGGCATATTTCATAGTACTAGCCATAACCTCTGGTTATTGTCTCAGCTTTATTCAAGTTGTTATGTGGTTAGAATAACTATAGGGGGCTAGGTAAAAACATTACTGAAGTATAAGCATATTTCATAGTGCTAGCCATGACCTCTGATTATTGTCTAAGCTTTATTCAAGTTGTTATATAGTTAAGACTAACTATAGGGGGCTAGATAAAACACAATGGAAGTATTAGCATATTTCACAGTGCTAGCCATAACCTCTGATTTAGTTTGAGCTTTAACTAAGTCTGGTTATTGTCTCAGCTTTATTCAAGTTGTTATGTGGTTAGAATAACTATAGGGGGCTAGGTAAAAACATTACTGAAGTATAAGCATATTTCATAGTGCTAGCCATGACCTCTGATTATTGTCTAAGCTTTATTCAAGTTGTTATATAGTTAGACTAACTATACGGGGCTAGATAAAACACAATGGAAGTATTAGCATATTTCATAGTGCTAGCCATAACCTCTGATTTAGTTTGAGCTTTAACTAAATTGTTACATAGGTGACTGTAGGGGCATGAGGCGGTCTATTAAATAGTTAGCCATAACCGCTGACTAATGATCAGACTGGAGAGTTTGTGATCGTGGGGTACACGTACATCGGCCGGCGTGATACACCCTGAGCGACATCGATTCCTAATGAACGAGTAAATATAAAGTAAAGAGTTAACTAGAATAATCAAATGTCAGAATAATACTAATTAGAGGCAGACAAACAACCAATTTGCCTTCCAACCTAAATTCGAGGTCATAATAAAATGGAGTCAGATTACAATTGAACTTAAATTGAAAAACTTTGCGTGCTGAAA